GGGAATTCCCTTCAATCATGTTCAATTATTATCTTCATCACTGAATCTTTCCTACATATTTCCAATTTTTTCATACTTCTCGCGGATTTCCCATATTCCCTTCATTTCCTGTCAAAAAAATCTCGGTGGGAATGAGTGGGAAAGGGCAAGCATTCGGTTTTTATATATAGGTTTTTGAGTTTTTTCCCAGCCTCTGGGCGAGTTGGGTCCTTCTGGCAGCTGTTCACTTTGGTTTTTTGAGAAGTGCAGGGCATCTCCAGTTCCCCTAGATTACTTTCTCCCCTTGAAAAATCCCATGGAATAGTATTCAACCTGGCCCTTTCCTGTAGTGGTTTCCCCTTCCATATTTCCCCTTATTTCTCCCATATCATATTCCTTTCATTTGCCTCCAAAGAACGATGGTAAGCATTTGGTCTTTATATGCTTTTGAGTTTTTTCCAGCTTCTGGGCAAGTTGGATGGTCCTGGCAGCTGCCCGCTTTGATTTTTGAGGAGTGCAGGGCATCTCCAATACCCCTAGAATAATTTCTTAAAGAACGTTTCTTGGTTGCGGGTTGCAATATTTGATGTGTTCTTGGTACAATTTAAATTGAAGGGAGATTCTGAGATGACTAGCAGGGAGCACACATGAAATAGGATCTTTGAATTTATTTGCGCTTCCGGATTTGCAACGCATCGATCCTAAAAAACAACACGAAGCAACTTAAAAAAACAAAACGCCTTTGCAAAACCAACAGTGTGCAGGATTTCCTGACGATGTACTTTGTGATTTTCAATTCTGATGCGGTAGGCTACGCAATGCTATGCATTCCCTTTTGTCGCTAGATTTTCTGATGTATATTGAGGGGGCATTCTCTGAAGGCATCCCTCATATTTCAAAACATGTTTTAAACATTGAGTTGGAGTGGAAGGGGGGTGGAGAACACTTGTCGTCGAAGCTTGACATGTGGCAACCCCTTCAAAATAGTTATGTGAAAGGAGATCAAAATATATAGTTTAAAAATAATAGCATTCTAGGGAATCACTGGGGAAAGACATTTTGAGGGGGGCTAAGAGAAATTATTTCCAGGTGGTCCCGCGTCAAGTCGATGAATCGAACGTACGTCAAGCCCCTTGAAATAACTATGCCTTATTATTTTAAGGGGGAGGGGGGGTAACTAAGGTAGGGATGCTGCTGCTGCTGCTGTTGCTGCTGCTCGTGCCCTTCATACTTGCTTCCCTTCATTCATCCTTGTGCTTGTCTCCCTTGTGGCTCTGGATCCACGCCTCGCTGCTGCTGGGACTGGTCTGAAACCCTTTAGACGCCCCATCTGAGCCTCTGATTGCCACTTGCTGCTGACCCCTCTATGCGAGGAGCCCAAAGATTCTTTCAGTAATCAAGTGTGCACATGTTGCCACCATGCACGTGGGATTCAAGGTGAGCCACTTAAATTAAAAAGTTGCGAAGTACTTTCTTATGCCATGCTTGCATTCTAAGCTTTTTCCCGGTACACCGGCTATCTGGGGTCTATGCTGGTGTAATATCTCAGTTTGTCATCATGTTGGACGAGAATCTCCAACATTTTCATTTTCATACAAGTTCGATATCCGGGAACGTCGAAGGGATCTCCGTGCACAAACAGATACGGGTGGTCATGTTGACTTTGCAATGCTGTAGGTGCCACCTGGACTGGAAGTGTTTGTGAAGATTGCGCAGGCTGGCGCCAAGCCCTTTGGGAAGCTTGGAATTGATTCAGGCTTATCCTTGTTTCAGTCATTCGTTCAAAACCGGAATCCCAATCAAGCCGGTCGTTCTACTTTTTGGGGTTCGAATGGTACAAACTTCTTGAAAGCACAAAAACACAGACAGACGGTCTTGCAGACAAAGGGACAGAAACGGAAGAATCTCTATTCTGAGCGTCCGAAAAGTATGTGGTGAACCCTAGTCAGCAAGGACAGGAATGCATCAATGAAAATCATCCCCTCAGTGGTTTCCCTCGCTGAAACAGTTCGTATGTGACAGCCTACATGGCGAGACCAAGGGTCTGGCAGTGTGCGGCGTTTTCGCATTCTTGACCTTGGCCTACTACCTGACCTCATCCAAGGCTCCCTCACGGTGCTGCTGTGAAATTTGCCAGTCTTCTAGTGCTGATGCGAGCTGTGCCAATCAAGCTTTCACTGGGGGCATGTGTGAATTTCAGGTTTGGATGCCATGATATGTCGACATTTGAACAACTCATGGACATGTGAAGAGTAATGTATGATACTATTTGCATGGTTCAAACGCAGCATGCAGGTCACGGCAAAAGCTACTGTGCTTTTTGCAACAACGGCTTCCTTCGGCATGTTGGTTATGTCGATGCAGAATTTGGGGCTGGTTGGTACTATGACTGTTGAGTGGCCAGAAGGACTCCAGGCGCTGTTCAGCTTTTGCCAGCTCTTTTTGCTGGACATCGATTCTTATGGCTTCAGCTGCCTCGCGGGCTTCTTGGCCCAAGAGTTCCCAGAATACCGTGAACGACTTTACGAATTCCAGCATGGAACATGTTCCCAAATTGAATAAGCCGACGTAGATCCCCAACAGCGGTTGGTGTCAAAAGAAAATGTGCTGTTTTTTTTCTGTTTCGGAAGACCGAAGTTGTGCGGCTGGAATGAAAACTGGCCGGAACAACATCCTGCGAGAAAGGCAATCATTTCATTTATTTTCAATGCAAAGAACGCTGCTTCGGTTCTATGCCGGTGAACTTCTTTAGAGTCAAAAACCCTGTGCGTGCGGACAGCCCAAGAATGAACAAGATGCCGTTTATTAGGATGTTCACCTATCCAATTTCAATGCGCCTTGGTTTCGACCTCGGAAGCATCCGCTTCTGCTCCTGGAGCTACGATTCTGGAACCTTCGTTGACACACCCGCTTTGGTTTTGGGCACCTCCGCTTTGATTCCTGGCACCATGGGTGGCGGAACCACGTACACGGAAATTTCCTTGGCGCAAAGCTGCCAGAGCATCCGCTTCGGTTCCAAGCACTTCCCCTTTTTATTCCCAAAACCAGTGCGCCTGCAGGTTCCCGGAATTTTCTTTGACGTAAACCTATAGAGCCTTCGCTTTATTGCCCGGCTCCCGGAATCCGCTTAACGAAACTGTTGGGGAAGTCGAAAATAAAACCTATACAGTATCAAATTTAATGTTCATTTTTAGTTGCCCCGCCTTTCGCAGATCCTTCCTCCCAACCGCACTTGGAACCACCCTTGCTGGAATTATGTTTCCCGCAACCTCCGTAATGGGTCCACGAACCATGCATCTTTGCCTGAACCTCCGCAATGATTGAAAGACGGTTTTCCAGTACCGTGGTTCCCGCAAACGATCCTAGCTTGCTTTCGTGTCGGAACTTCTGCAATCGTTCCAAAACCGTCCTCACCAGGCCATGGTTCCAAGAGCCACCCTTGCCAGAACCCTGGTTTCCGGAAGTATCCTGTGCCTTGCCTGGTACAAGTGCCCGTTTTCATAGATGAACTTCCGCAATGCTTGCGAGAACCATGCTTGGCAAAAACCATGGTTTCCCGAACCATCCTCCATTTGCCTTTTCTTGCTAGGAGCGCCCGGTTCCCGGAACCTTCTGGTTCATCCCGGAGCCTTCTCGGTTCCCGGAACCCGCGCGAGGCAGCAATGTCGGCCGGTGCCCGGGATTACCCCGAAGGCTATGTGGGCTGAGACCCCAAAGCATTCTGCCGTTGGGGAAAATTGAAAAAACTGCTTTATAGTTTAGGTCAGGATGATTCCATGATCTGTTTGGTTTGCGAATTCATCATGGTACCATGTGTGTTGATATATAAATACAATAGACATAATATACATATGTATATATATATATGTATTAATATGTATATACATACATTGATATATATATATATGTATATATATTTATATAGATGTATACATGGGACGGGATCATTGCAGAGATATTTATAGATGTATGTGTACAAATCATGGTCACTTTTTGTGTCGCGCGTAACTCATTTTTCGTTAAGCAACGCTAAGGTCAGTCAGAACCAATCCGCTACCTCCTGACTGCCCTGATCTTCCCCGTGGGTATTGCATGGTTGGCTTTGGGATACGGCGTGTCCCGATTCTTCCCCGAGAAATACCATTGGGAAGGACCAAAGGTTTGCTCTACCATGGGAGCTTTCCTTCAAGTTGGATTCAGCACCATGAGCGCTACCTCTTTGGCGCCAATGATGTGCTTCCAGCATCCCAACGGTCTCCGAAGCATTCTCAAGTATCCCGGTGTCATTTGTGGTTCCGCGGATCACACTTCCATGTTGGTCTTCGCTGGGATTTTGTTGGTGGTATTCGTGTTCGGCTTCGTGGCCTTGTGTGGATTTGCTGTGTGGAAAGTCCCGCGGCTGCAGACGTGCTACGTTGCGATTGGTGCGAGGGTTAATGTTGTCTTCTGAATCAATAGCCCCGCTACCCAATCCGATTGAATAAATTTTTATCACGTCCACTGTAAGTAGGAAAAGTAGCTGTGGCAAAACACTATTCAACTTTTATCTGGGATCTGACACAGTCTAAAGATGGAGCGGACTCTGAGTGGACTCTGAGAGTTAGATGCAAGTTGTTGCGATTTGAATCCGCTTGACTTCAAGTGAGACAAGTAGGTATCCAAGGATGGCGCGGGTTGAACTGGGCATGCCCGAATCTTGCAGAAAAACATGGATATTGGAAGGGAAAAGTTGGCTTTGAGTTTAGTCCTAATGTATAACTAATTATGGCGCCAGCCAGGAGCCATAACAGGGGTACTGCATCCCAATAGAATTTGAGGTTGGTCTTGATAGTTTTCACACCAAGGTTTCAACGGATATGTGACAGGATTTCTCTTTCTTACGACTCCAGGTATTCAGAGTGACATATCAGTCACCTTGAATAGCGAAGGTAAGCCAACTCAGCAGGGCAGCTACGAATCAAGTAAAAGAGAAGCCCCCCAACCGTCCCACTACAGACCTTCATCAAGCACTAGGAAGGAAAGCTGACCATTTCCAGATCTTGAACTTACATCTTAGCTTTATTTGTTTGAGGGTGGTTTATTAAGAGTAACAAAAACAAGGTGCAACCCACGAGCCCGAATGCTTACACGTATGTTAATGACAAACATGTTGAAACACCTTGCAGAGACACTCCTTGAAAGACACTCTTACGCAGACTCTTGCAGGGACACTCTTGACAAGACACTCTTGGAGAGACACTCTTGAAGAGACTCTTGACCATAATACATTCCTTGAACGACAATCTTGGAGAGAGACTCCTTAAGAGACACTCTTGGCAAGACACCTCCTTGATAAGACAACCTTGGAGACACGCTCTTGGAGAAACATTCTTGGAGAGACACTCCTTGAGAGACACTTTTGGAGAGACACCCTTGGAGAGACACTCTGGGAGAGACACCTTTGGCACTCTTGGCAAGACACTCCTTGAGAGACACTCTTGGGGAGACACTCTTGGAGAGACACTCCTGGAAATCCAATCTTGGCAAGGCACTTTTGGAGAGCCACTTTTTGAGAGACATTCTCAACAAAACACTCCCTGAGAGACAGCCTTGGAGAGACTCCTTGAGAGACGCTCTTGGAGAGACACCCTTGAAAAGACACTCTTGAGAGACACCTTTGGAAAGACTCTCCTTGAGAGACACTCTTGGCAAGACAGTCCTTGAGAGACACTCTTGGGGAGACATTCCTGGAGAGACACTCTTGGGGAGACATTCCTGGAGAGACACTCTTGGCAAGATACTCAGACACTCCTTCACAGACACTCTTGGAGAGAGACTTTTGGAATTTTCTGGGAGACAGTCTTGACAAGATACTCTTGCAGACACACACACATTCTTGGAAAGACGCCCCTTGAGAGACATTACTTGAGTTAGATAGTTTGCGCGAAATAATTGGTAGAGAGAGTTTAGGACAGGCCTGAGAGGTCAGCTATATAGCGGGAACGGGATAGAAAGTCATAATAAGTCATACTTGTCAAACAAGTTGGCACCACAACACCAGAAGGGAAACCAGAAGCGTCTTGAATTGCTTCTCCGAAAAAAATGCGCGAAGAAACTAGAAAACCGCAAACGTTTCACTGTTTGCAGCATCTTTCGATTCTTCACGCACACAGTCCAATGCGAGCAGCAAAACCACGTCAACACCAGTCCTCCAAAGCATTAGCACCTGCCACGAAAATAACGAGGCATACGTCTCAAGTGCTGCGCTTGCCGCGCGACATGAGCCAGGCTGAAACGTGAGAGCAGCGCGGAAGTATCGCACCTGTCACACGAGGAAGTATATGGCACATGTGAAACGTGAATTGTAATGCAGTAAACGCAAGAAACTTGACCAAAAGGCATAATTTTGCAAGTATGGTTGGGAGACTCGCACCCCGGACCACCATAGCGACCTAATTACCGCGAAACGGTTGCGAATGGTTGCAGACGGTTGCGAACACAAGCGCAACGTCGAGCGAACACACCTCAACCCCCAATCCCCGAAAGTGAAATGGGAACCTTGCTAGGCATTTGTGAACATATTTTCCCATTTGGGAGGACTTAAAATTTCAGACGTACAACAAGTATCACCTTTTTGTGATTTTCTTTGGTCAGACTGGTTGCCTATGACCCAGTGACCTGTTTGATCAAAGGACGGGATTGGATTTGTCCCGCAGTTCCCAGGTGCCTTCATGGAGTGCCAAGCGCCGCGATCATTTGGTTGCTTCAGTGCGCTTCCTGGTCTTCCGATTCCGCTTGGCCCTTCGGCTCGCCCGGCTCTACCTTGGTCGTTAGAGTTCGCCTGAGGTTCATTTCCTCTTCAAGTTGGACTGGCAGCACATTGGGGTTCGTTTCCCCTTCAGTTCTGGAACATGTGTTACTCACAAGGGAGGTGTTTTTCCCCAAGCACCGGCCACTGCGGGGATCTCAGTGGATTGTTCATGGCTTCGGCCTTCTGCGCTTTGCAGCTTTGGTTAGTCCTAGCAGGGGGGGCTACTTTTTCCTGTACAAGACGAACTGAGAGTTTGGCATGACGACCACCAGTGTCCAGGCTTCTTAGCTTTCTTTTGGTTCCGGACTTGTTTCCGGCCCTCACCAGGTGTGGGGAATGTGTCACATGTTTGCAAACTTGCATATCATACGTGTATAGCTTTAGGTCTTGGACCCCGACGAGGCCTGTTTTGCTTTTCACCTGCCTCCACTCCAAGAGTTAGGGTGATGGCAGACAATGATGCGATTCCGCTTGGATTCGTGGTGGTTTGGAGTTCCACTCCTTGTTCGAGGGCCTTTGATCAACTTGCCCGTGGTCCTGGCCACGGATTACCCACCAATCCAAGTGGTCTGCATTGCGATGATTCTGACCACTACGATGGTGCCTTGAACACCATAGACTTGGAAGGCCTATCCAGCACTTTAAGCTAGAACATCGTCAGTCACATTCTGCTCAGGTAAGAAGTACAGTCTCGGAAGTGTGAAACTATCCTTGAATGTAAGTCCTCAGCTTGGTGCGCAGTCACATGAGTGCATGTTCGAAAGAGACGCTACTTCAGAGCCGATGCTGGAACCAAACTCCGCTGTAACACAGCTTCCGGCTGTGTATAGGTTTGGATTTTCGAATTACACCCCCTTCCAGGTCACAGCTTACTCCGGATGAGGATACTTGCAAAAACACAAATGCATGCGTAGCTCCTGACTTTGAACCCATAGTTTTCCCATTGAGCTGACAAGGCTCCGTGTGACACTGACACATCATGGTTTTACAGTTAGTGTAAACACCAGTGCACGGCCCATGAAGTCCTGCACGTGTCGGAGGGCACCTTTTGCACGATGATTTCATGGTGAGAACACATGGAGCAACGATGCGCAGAATACCACCTGGATTTGATGATTTTTGGTTTTGGTGAGCACAACATCCTCTCATCTCTACAGCTTCTCTCTCTCTCTCTCTACAGCTTACATCTTCTTCACATGTGTTTCGCTACATGCTCCTTACAACTTCTATTCAGTTCACTCTACTGTATATCTGCTTGCTTCCTGGATGTGGTGCTTATTGGATAACATGTTGTACTTAACATGTTTTAACATACCCCTCAACGCTCTCGGGCCAACAGTCGTCTAGTTTTTAAACCCCAGGAGGTATTCCAATTGATGGAAATAAAATAAACGATAGATTCTCCATCCTCGAGAGTACCCAAAATTGGGACCATATTTGTACTTTGTTGAGGCATGAACAAAACCGGGTTTATCAGGGATTATCAACATCTCATGTGGGAATATGAATTAACCACTATCAGGAGTAGGTCAGAAGTTTTTTCAGTGAACAGTTTGTTTATTATTTAGAACTGTTTGGGCTGAGGTCATGCAGATGCTTGCCTGGCCTTGGAAGGTGCAGCCTCCGGCCGAGATTGTTGCTGATTGACCCATAGTCGGGGCTGGTTTTACACTGAGTGGAGTGACTGGGAAGTCAGCCCTGCTCCAATAGCAAGGTCGGATGTGTGTGTCATCGACGGAAGTTAAGTTTAGAAGTCAAGTTTCCGACTTCTCGAAAGATGCAACCAGCCCAGTGCGAAGAGTCAGAGGAGAGAGAGTCAGAAGAAAGAAGATCCAAGTGTGCGAAATGTTAGGAAAGTCGCGAAATGCTATGTTTTTCAATTGTTTGTGTGTCCGGATGGCCCGAAAGGTAGGCAAAGCGGCGGGTGCGGAGCCATTTGGTGGAAAGGTTGCCCGAACGCAGCGTGCCGCCTAGTAGTCGCGAAGCACGTTTGGAAGTCAACATGCTTAAAAAATTGACGGGCTCCAGCTCTTTAGGATGATGCAACTTCGAAAAAGTGCAGGCCGCTGTGGCGCGAAGCACGTGTGGAAGTCAAAGTGCTAAAACGACTAGGGTCTCGGAGTGCACGCCGCTGTGGCGAGACCAAATTTGGAAGTCAAAAGTGCCATAGCCACCATTCTCGGAGCACGTGTGGAAGGTGCAATTTAGTGCAGGCCGCAGTGGCGTGAAGCGCCTTTGGAAGTCAACAGTGTGAAAATATGTCACCTTCGGACTATTTTCGGACATTGGAAATTCGAAAATGTGCAGGCGGCCTAGGCGCGAAGCGCCTTCTGAAGTCAAAACGCAAGAAAATTGAGGGTTTGGGGGCATTTTTGTCTGTCAGAACAGACAGAGATGGATGAATAGCTAACATAGCTAGATGTTGTCAAAGACAGATTCAGAAATAGCTACGGTAGATCACATGATAGAGAGACAGAAACAAAAAGATACAAATATTCAGATAGATAGACATGACAGACAGATGATAGACAGATAGGTAGATAGATAGATAGATAAATAGATAGATAGACAGACAGATAGATAGATAGATAGTTACAGAGGTAGATAGATAGATGCATAGGTAGATAGATAAATAGATAGATGGATGGATAGACAGATAGATAGGTAGGTAGATAGACAGTCAGATAGGTAGATAGATAGACAGATAGATAGATACAACTATGGATAGAAAGAAAGAAAGATAGTCAAATTGAAAGGTAAAAAGCAAGTCAGATAGATAGAAGGACAGATTTTCAGCGACAGTCGGAAAGATAGATAGACAGATAGAAAACCAGGTAGATAGATAGACAGGCAGACAGACAGATAGATAGATAGATAGATAGATTGATTGATTGATTGATTGTCAGACAAACAGACAGGCAGATAGATAGACTGATTGATTGATTGATTGATTGATTGATTGATTAATTGTCAGACAAACAGACAGACAGACAGACAGACAGACAGATAGATAGATAGATAGATAGATTGTCAGACAGACAAACAGATAGACAGACTGACAGACAGACAGACAGGTACATAGATAGGGTGTCAGACAGTCAGACAGACAGACAGACAGACAGACAGATATATAGATAGATAGACAGACAGACAGATAGACAGATAGATAGACAGATAGACAGATAGACAGATAGACAGATAGGATAGATAGATGGACCAATAGACAGATAAATAGATAGATAGATAAGATAAGGTAAGGTAAGGTAAGGTAAAATAAGATAAGATAGATAGATAGATAGATAGATCGATAGATAGATAGATAGTCAGATAGACAGTCAGACAGTCAAACAGAAAGATAGACAGATAGTTAGATGGGCAGATGGTCAGATAACTAGTCCGATAGAAAGATAGTTAGATGATCGACAGAGAGATAGAAAGAAAATCAGATAGTCGCATTGACATATAGCTAGACTAGAGAGACAAACAGATTGACTGACTGATAGATAGAGAGATAGTCAGGTAGAAAGATAGAAAGAAAGACAGATAGACAGAAAGACAGATAGTCAGATAGACAGAAAGATAGACAGACACTTAGATAGAGAAACAGATAGATAGACAGACAGACAGACAGCCAGCCAGCCAGACAGACAGACAGACAGAGAGATAGATAGATAGAAAAAATAACAAGATAGATAGACACAAGGTAACTGTATTGACCACAAATCCCAAAAAAAGGAATATGAAGGGCGCATAGCTAAGAACAGATAGATGCTTCTCAGAAATGGGCGCCCTCTAAAGCCTTACCAAAATGGTAATTGGTATATGCAAACACATGTTTTCTCTGGTATCATTATTTTGGAAGGTATTATGTCGGCAAAAATGAGCGGCATGGACGTGGATCTAGAACTGGCTTTGTGCTACCGGCAGTCTTTCTGGATTATGAGCTGAGCCATGACTTGGAAATTTCAAATTCGCGCTTTTGACAGGGATCACAGTGGGTGGTTGCGAATGCGGGTCAATCGACTCAAACTTGCCTTATTTAAGTGTGATCGTGGTAGCGCCAGCACAAAGTGCAATTGACGAGAACGGTTCGTGGGGAAGATGTGTTTCACAGATTTTCTAGTTCCCTTGAAACCAGCAACAATCGCCCTGTTCGCTGAAAACAAATATTGGGTGCCCAGCTATGCTAAACTGCATTTGATGTGCCAGGTCCCTCTGCTGAACGTGACGGACTGCATCATCTCCTTCTGCATTGTTTTGACCGTGACCACCTCCACTTTGTACCTCAACAAAATTGAACCTAGTCAGCAGTGCAAATTGTTGATCAAAGTACAGAGCATTGTCGTTGATTCTCGATAAACAGTCTTGGTGTCAGCAGCAGCAAGCTGGTCTGTAAAGGCCCAGGTGCTCAAATTTGTTCTGAAAGGAGGTGATTGATCTTGTCATACTGAAGTAGTATGTCCTTCAATTTAGAAATACCCATCATGCCCATCTTGTGCTTTTCGTTTCGCTCAAAGAGTCTTAAGCCCCCAGAATCTGACATAGCACGAAGAAAAAAATGGTTCTATTTTTCTGTCATAAAATTCAGACGGTGACGTTGACATGCACCTGTCCCTGAAGATGTCCTTTGTAGCGTCCATGATGCGAGAAAATGCCTTTGCGAGCAGACTCATGACAGCTTGCAGTTGAAAGGAAAGCAGCTGCAACAACGGTGCTCAGCTATATACCGCGTGGTGCAATCCAACAGTAAACTTGCGCCATTGGATTTGTGGTCAAGCAAAGCTTGCTTATCTTTGTAGATATGCATCTACATGGTCAGTCCCACATGATTTGCCCCAACTATTGTCTGTTTGACAACCATCTCTGATGCAGCTCTCAAGTTTGAAACGTGTTTTGCCCCCTGACAGCGTGAACCACACTAGGTTTTACCTAGTGGAAAGGTAGGGTTCGGGGGTTTGTTCCGGTTTGTTCGCAGAGAACCTAGTCCACAACGTGGTGGGGCCTTGCTGAACCACAAACAAGCGAAGCGTTCAAGGAACTTGACGGCGTTGCTGCGTCGCGTGACCACAACTATTCAGAGCGTGCCGCGCCAAGACATTCGCCCGTCAGGGACTGCATGGTCTTTCTGCCAAGGAGTTGAGCATGCTTTCAAGGACATCGCCAATGCTGTTTCCGATCGTGTTGCGCAATCGCAATGCAACTTTTACCGTCAGACACCCACACCTTCTTTGCCCGTGCGGCATTGGAAGAAGAAAACGCATGAGGCAAAGCAATCACAAAGACCCTTGTAAGCTCAGGCACAGAGTTACAACCTAGATTCATTTTTATTGTGCAGGCTTATTGCCAACAAGCCCTGCGGTCTGCGCGCGTAAAGCCAGACTGGAAGCACAAACCCGGTTCGCGCCCGCTTGTTGAGCCTATCCAGCGCGCGTCATGGTGCTCGGGACATCTCGCCTTTCTTCTAGTTCGAGATTGTGGGGTCCTTCAGCAAATCGCTCTGAGTGCACTTGCCTGCGATGCGCACGGATCAGGCAAACTAAATAGCGCAGCAGTCCCTCCAAGTTTCAAAAGTGGAAGAGGCTTCGCGTGAGAAATTGATTTTGAGCTGTTGAATTTGGATTTGCAGGGAATTCCCGTGCGAAAGTGGGTTTGAATTCCTGCTTTGTCATTTTTTTGTGGAAGTCTTGAGAGCTCGAAATTGAATTGCTGCAAAGATTTTGTACAGGTCTTGCTAAGCGTGTGCCAAGATCTTTTTACGGGAAGTTGAACCAGTCGTCTTAAGAGTGCCCTTACAGAGACTTTGCTGAAAAACAAGGTGCCCGCACGTCTTTAGGTCTTGCCAAGCGACCTTGCAAACAGCGTTTTACAGGAAACTCTTGAAAATTTGTTTGGGACCCCGGGGAATGTTTCTTGAAGGGATCTTGCAAAGGCCTTCTCGATGTCTGTCAGTCTTCAAAAGACATGTGTTACAGAGATCTTCATACAACTTTTGCGAAGATGTTGTAGCAATCTTTGCGCAAATCTCGCCAAGAGAAGTTGCGGTTAACAGGCTTTGGCGTGGGTCTTGTGAAAGCCTCGCGCAATCCTCCTGAGGGACTGTTGCAAAGGTTCCTTGCACAGTTCTTTTTACGGAAGGTTTACCGAGATCTTGCCAACGACCTTGTACAATTCCTTTTCAAAAAGTCTTTGGGCAGACCTTCAAAAGCATTCTTGGACAATCAAAGAGAGTTCATGCCAAGAGGTCTTGCACAAATTCTGCGATGAAAACTTGTGCTGAAATCTTATCACCACATCTTTCACAATTTTGAGGGCCTCTTGCCGCGACATTTCTCCAGCAAGCCCTGCCCTAAAAGTAAAGTGGTTTGGTTTAACGCATTCTTTGTTTTGTTTTTGTCTATGTTTTTGCCGGTCCTTCCTTCTAGCAGCGATGCCTCTTTGATGCGGAACCCTTGCTTTTGAAGGAACGATGTATTTTGTTGCAATATCCTTTAGCGATTATTGTTGTTGGAAACCTACGTGACAGTGGTAAAGGCAGTGCCCGCTCTCTTTCAAAACAGGTCTGCAGGTTGTGGCAAAGGCTATTTAAGTTGATAGGTTGATCAAACGGGCGAGCATAGATGGAAATGACATTTCATGCTTCCCCATCTTGTGTTTTTTCGGTCATGAATTGAATTCATTCCGCCAAAAGCACAGAACCACGGGCTGAGGATCCTGCAATGTATGGTTTCGCCAGTGGAGTCAGCACAGCCATGCTCAGTGGAATTTTTGGTGCTATCAGCATCATGGTCTGTATGACCGTCAGTGCGCTCATCTACCGCAGTGCTATGGGCGGACAGAAGGACGGCTCGGGGATCAGGTAGTCAGAATGCTTTGGCTGGGAGAAGTATTGCTTCGGTAAAAAATGGATCATAGAAATAATTATCATGATTTTGAAATATTGATAGCAATAGTACTGTTCTTGATCACAAGAAACCCGAAGGAGCAGATATGCATTTGTGAATAAGTTCGTGGTTGTTGAATGATGAACAGCTATTGTGTATGTTCATTTCCATAGGGATTCCTTGCGTTGGGTGATGAATCCGTCATTTTGTCAACCAATGACCGGCCATCGAAACCAACTTGGTCCCGGTCATGGGCACAGGAGCTGAGGATGTTCAACCTGGGTCGCGTTCCGAATTCCGAGGAACTTTCCAAGAAGGTCAAGGACCAGCCGCGGCCAGGATATGTGAGCAAGGAAAGGTCAATTGCTGGTTGATTAAGGCCAATGACCAATGGTTGATATTTCATGGTTTTGGTTGACTAATGAAGGATTCAAGGTTAGCGTGGTAAATGACGACAAATTATGTTGAGTAACAATCAAAATCAACAACCCATGGTCTTTGGCTACCTTGAAAACAGAGTTCATTTTTAGGCTATAGACAAAATGCAAGTTTGCAACAGGTTCAATGATGAGTGGCAAAAGGCACGGCATATTTTTCAAAGTGGCTGCAAACCTGCGGCTGTATTGCTTGACGACTGTCATCCCGGGATTTTCATACCGGAAATGTCTGGCAAAATTGGTGGTGATTATTTTGGGGTAACCCACTCCAACCTGCACGTTTTCAGATTCGGAGGTGTGACTCGGCCATGTCTTAGCCAGGGCCAAGATCCAGAGCCAGACATTTGCCAATCCCAATTTCCCCGGGAATGCTGAAGGAAATGGCGATGATGTTGGAGAAGAGCGACACAGGGGACATAGCATCGAAGACTCTTGCTGACAGAGTTTGGTTGTTGCGATTGAATTTGTGCCAAGAACATCGCAATCTTAAAGTTATCCCGCAAACAATTTATGCTTCGGGCTAACAATTTATGCTTCGGGCTTTCAATTCTTCCTCAAAGGGTATTTCCTCCTGTGCGACTGACGTCCGCCTCTCTCCAAGTTTGCCTCCCATCATTTCTCAACGGATCTCCCATCATTGATCTGCCAACCCTTACATGTGTATGTTTCACAGGTGGTATCTGGCTCTTTCTTTGGTCTCTCTTCCGCCCCTCATGTCTCCCTCCATTTCTTTCCCATCTCTTCGCCTCCTTCTTTTTATGTATGTTTTTCCATAATGTGTTTCCCGATCTCTCAACAATTGTTTTTCTTTGTTTGTCCTTTGTATTCATGCGTCTCTCAGTCACAGTCTCCCTTCCTGATGGTGTCTGGCTCCTTCATTTGTCTCATATTTGTCTCCCATCATTTGTTAACAGAATGGCTAGCCCAATTTCTACAACAATTTAAGCCTTGGGGAGCTTAACTCCTCCGAAACTGAGTGTCAACTGGTGACCAAAAAGCATGTGTTATGGTTTCATGCTCTCCTCTGGGCTGATAGGCTCGCAGCCTTGTCGGTCTTCGACACCCAGAAGATCACCACCTGCGTCACTCTCTTGGCTACAGAGGTGCATGGTGGGCAGTTCTTTCCGGCTCGTTTCACAAAGCTTCAAGAACCATGAGAGTTGGCTGGCCTCAAAAAGGCAAATCCTGGCTATCTGCGTCTGTCCTGGTGTCAGGTTGCGCCGCCGCTTGAAGATGCACGATCCTTCAAGTTCAACAAGCAACTCGGCGTGGCGGAGGGTGGCGTTTGGCATCCCTCTGCAATGGACTGCACTTTTGGTGAGCAAGCAAATGTGCTGGTTCGGTAGAACAACTGGTCGTGAAGAGTGATGCACTGGCTGGTCTGTCGGTAGTACTTTCCAAAGCCCATCGGACTGGTTACATCGGTTGGAAATCCTGTGGACATGCTGGATGGCACATGAGGAGGATGTGGCTAGTAGTTATGCTTGACCAACCAGCTCATGAAGTTATTCTCTGCGAGGCGCATTGCGTCCTCTTCCTTCGACCCCGCCTTGAAGAGGAAGCCCCAATCCCTCAGGCGGCTGAAAAGCTGTTACCAAAGCTGGCAAACACACGGGTTCGATGAGGATAATCGTCATCATCTTTGTCATCGTCATCGTCATCATCACCATCACCATCACCATCACCAGTACCACCTGCATCATTACCACCATCATCATCATCATCATCATCATCAGCAGAATCATTAGCAGCAACATCGTCATAATCAACAGATATATAGTTATAATATATATATATAATAATCATCATCGTCATCCTCATCATCCTCATCATCAATATCATCATCACCAAAATCATCATCATCATCATGATCATCATCATGATCATCATCATCATCATCATCATCATCATCAACATCCTCATCGTCTTCATCGTCTTCATCGTCTTCATCGTCTTTCTCCTTATCATCGTCATCATCATCATCATCACCATCATCATCACCATTAACCCCAAAATCATCAACGTAGCATCATCATCATCATCATCATCAACAACCTCATCGTCTTCATCGTCTTCATCGTTTTTCTCCTTATCATCGTCTTCATCGTTTTCCTCCTTATCATCGTCTTCATCGTCTTCATCGTTTTCCTCCTTATCATCATCATCATCACCATCATCATCATCCTCCTCATCCTCCTCATCATCCTCATCATCATCATCATCATCATCACCATCACCAGTACCACCAGCATCATTACCATCATCAACATCATCACCATCACCACCACCACCACCACCACCACCACCATCATCATCATCATCATCATCCACATCATCAAGTTCGCCATGATCGCCGTCAACGCTATCATCGCCGTTATTTTGCTGCACCTCCTGCTCCTCCTCTTTATCCTACTCCCGGAGATCTAAAGGGATTTTCAAAAAGGTTCTTCCCAGGATTCCAAAACCATCGGAGTGTTCTCACGGGTGCCACACGTTTGGGCCACGAAATCGGCAACGTTTTTGGGCGAAGGCAGATTGGGGCTGCCGGGGGTGCAGCCGGCGCCTCGTCAGGCTCACAAGGCAGAAGAAGGAGGCTGAGCAACCCGTCGAGAGCAATGAAATGGTCGAAATCGCGCGGGGTTCGCAGCAAAGTTCGACATCGTAAGGCATGATGATAAGGCATGATGACAAGAGACGCCCAAGGAGCATAGCAAAAGGGTTTTGACACGAGTTAGTTAGGGATGTGCTAAAACCTTCGCTGTTTGCTAATCAGGCCGTTCACCAGTTCATGTTATCAGTATGGAAACATGATGTTAGAATGATGGTATATAAATGGCAGGTGTGAGAGGGTTTATTGTGACACGCTTTTACACCAACAACCACGGGATGTTGACCATCCGTAGCTGGCAGAGATGGGATTGTACCCAAGTGTTTGGTCAGCTCGTCACTACATGCAAGTATGAGAGGAGATACTAGCTACTTGTGTAAGGCATTGAGAACCGAGCAGTCGTGGACTGCGCGGCCTCTCCTGGAAAGTCCTACTACTCCAAGCCATTGAGAAACTTAGTTGAGGATTCTCACCATCAAATGTGGGAGTACCTACAAACTGGGAGAATGGATTCGGTTGGGGGATAATACTAATTGGTCATGTGCAGAGAAGCCGAGGCCGGCGATGCAGCAAGCCGAGAATGTGGAGAAGGATGTTGTCCACAAGAGCGAATGGATTTAAGCTCTGCGTGTTGTGACCCAGTGTTTGATCCGTCCGACATTGTGATTCCTGCCGCGAGCCATCTGGGCTGGCAGGCCACAGCAACATGTAAAATGTAACATGTTGTGCTGGGCGGTTATTTTTTAAAACTCTTTGTTTGCTTTCCCGCGTTTTTCACCTGCACTCAGCTTGACACTGTTCCTACCAGGAGTTGGGGATGTCAAAGCCTCGTAAGTATCATCTCTGGGTATACTGCTCACACAAAAGATTGCCACAGTGGTATATATATATATTTTTACACATACATGTGTGGTACGTTGTGGTACCCCAAACATACCATTCCATCGTCGTTTCCGTACGGAAACATTAACTAATGCTTGAACGTGCTGTCATTTTTGCAATACCCAGGTAGCCTTCCATAGTTCAAGATTGCTGGAGTATTGCATTGAGCGTGAGAGTAGCCCCGTCATGTCTGCCTGACAAGACACTACTCTGCATTCTTCTTTTGACTTTCTCCCGCATTCGCTTCTATTAGCATGACCCATCAGAGTCATAGAGTCATTTCGTACTCAAGAATTGGATGAATATCAACTTATGTCGATTATACATGCAATTTTCCTTTCATATCTGTGCCGGTACTTTTGCTACTGAACTGCTAGTGCTACTGCTACTACCACTGCTTTGCTAGTGCTAGAGTGCTAGTGCTGCTAGTGCTACTACTACTGCTGCTGCTACTATTAACCAGTACTAGTACTACTACTAGTACTGCTACTAGTATGCCTGAGTACTATCAGTAGTACCGCAGAAGGCGGTGGCGGAAGTTTCAAACATAGGAAACCTATAGGAGAGATTGGTTGTTGTGAATCAGGGATGGCAGAGCGGATCCACTGATGGACCGAAAGGTGCTTGAGGTCTCCTCTCTTTCTCTCTTTTTCTCTGACTATCTACCCACGTACCAACCTATATTCTATGTATCTGTCTATCTATCTATCGATCGATCTATCTATTTATCTCTCTATCCATCTATCTATCTTTCTAATCTATCTATCTATCTATCTTTCTTTCTTTCTAATCCATCTATCTATCTATCTATCTGTCTATCTATCTGTCTATCTATCGATCTATCTATCGATCTATCTATCGATCTATCTATCTATCAAACTATCTATCTATCTATCTATCTGTCTATCTATCTATCTATCTATCTGTCTATGCGTCTACCTATCTATCTATCTATCCATCCATCTATCTATCTATCTTTCTATCTATCTATCTAACTATCTATCGACCTATCTATCTATCTATCTTTCTATCTATCTATCTATCTATCTGTCTATCTGTCGAGCTGTCTATCTGTGGTGCAGTGTCATTCAGTGTAATGTAGTGTAGTGTAATGTAGTGTAGTGTAGTGGAGTGTAGTGGAATGTAGTGTAGTGTAGTGTAATGTAGTGTGGTGTAGTGTAATTTAGTGTAGTGGAGAGTAGTGGAGTGTAGTTGTGTATTCGTAGTTGTAGTTGTAGTGTAGTGGAGTGTAGTGCAGTGACAGTAGTGAAGTGTAGCGGAAGGTAGTGTAGTGTAGCGTAATGTAGTGTAGTGTAGTGGAGCGTAGTGTAGTGTAATGTAGTGTAGTGTAGTGTAATTTAGTGTAGTGGAGTGTATTGTAGTGGAGTGTAGTTGTGTAGTTGTAGTTGTAGTGTATTGGAGTGTAGTGTGGTGTAATGTAGTGAAGTGTAGTGGAAGGTAGTGTAGTGTAGTGTAATGTAGTGTAGTGTAGTGTAGTGGAGTGTAGTGTAGTGTAATGTAGTATAGTGTAGTGTGATTTAGTGTAGTGAAGTGTAGTGGAGTGTAGTGGAGTGTAGTTGTGTATAGTTGTAGTGTTGTGTAATGTAATGTAGTGTAGTGCAGTGCAGTGTAGTGGAGTGTAGCATGTAGTGTAGTGAAGCGAAGCGACATCTGAACTTCCAAAAGTGGTCCGAACCCCTAGTGTTTTGTACATTTTCACTTCGAAATGTGCTTCGCGCCGCAACGGTGTGCACTTTTTCGACATCTGAACCTCCAAAAGTGGTCCGGACCTGGTGTGTTTTGTACATTTTGACTTGGAAATGTGCTTCGCGCCGCAACGGCGTGCACTTTTTGGACATCTCAACTTCCAAAAGTGGTCCAAGAATGGTGTGCTTTGTACATTTTCACTTCGAAATATGCTTCGCGCCACAACGGCGTGCACTTTTTCGACATCTCAACTTCCAAAAGTGGTCCGAGAATGGTGTGCTTTGTACATTTTGACTTGGAAATGTGCTCCGCGCCACAATGGCGTGCACTTTTTGGACATCTCAACTTCCAAAAGTGGTCCAAGAATGGTGTGCTTTGTACATTTTCACTTCGAAATGTGCTTCGCGCCACAACGGCGTGCACTTTTTCGACATCTCAACTTCCAAACGTGGTCCAAGAATGGTGTGCTTTGTACATTTTCACTTCGAAATGTGCTTCGCGCCACAACGGCAATCTCAACTTCTAAAAGTGGTCCGAGAATGGTGTGCTTTGTACATTTTGACTTGGAAATGTGCTTCGCGCCACAACGGCGTGCAATTTTTCATCTCTCATCTGGCCAGATGGCTCCGCACCCGCCGCTTTAGCGAGCCTACTTTTCGACCCTCCGGAGCCCCAAATCATTGGAAAAACACAGTGTTTCGCAACTTTCCTACCTTTTCGCGCATGTGCATCTTCTTTCTTCTTACTCTTTCTTCTAATCTTTCTCTTCTCTCTGCCTCTTCCCTGCTCTGCTTTTCATCTGTCCATATTGTCGGAAGTTTGACTTCTAAACTTCCTTCGACTAGTCCTAGTAGTACGTACTACTAGTACAACTAGTACAACAAGTACAACTAGTACAACTAGTACAACTAGTACAACTAGTGCAACTAGTACAACTAGTACAACTAGTACAACTAGTACAACTAGTACTACTAGTACTACTAGTACAACTAGTACTACTAGTACTACTAGTACTACTAGTACTACTAGTACTACTAGTACTACTAGTATTGCTAATACTACTAGTGCTACTAGTACTACTAGTATTAATAGTACTACTACTACTACTGCTGCTGCTGCTGCTACTACCGCCTATACCACCTATACCACCTATACTACCTATACTACCTATACTACCTATACTACCCATACTACCTATACTACCTATACTACCTATACGACATATACGACCTATACGACCTATACGACCTATACGACGTATACGACCTATACGACCTATACGACCTATACGACCTATACGACCTATACGACCTATACGACCTATACGACCTATACGACCTACTGCTCCTACTGCTCCTACTGCTCCTACTGCTCCTACTGCTCCTACTGCTCCTACTGCTACTGCTACTACTAGTACTACTACTACTGCTACTACTCCTGCTACTACTACTACTACTACTAGTACTACTACTACTACTACTAGTACTACTACTACTACTACTACTACTACTACTAGTACTACTAGTACTACTACTACTACTACTACTTACTAGTACTTACTACTACTTACTACTACTTACTACTACTTACTACTACTTACTACTACTTACTACTACTTACTACTACTTACTACTACTTACTACTACTTACTACTACTTACTACTACTTACTACCACTTACTACTACTTACTACTACTTACTACTACTTACTACTACTTACTACTACTTACTACTACTTACTACTACTTACTACTACTTACTACTACTTACTACTACTTACTACTACTTACTACTACTTACTACTACTTACTAATACTTACTACTACTTACTACTACTTACTACTACTTACTACTACTTACTACTACTTACTACTACTTACTACTACTTACTACTACTTACTACTACTTACCACTACTTACCACTACTTACCACTACTTACTACTACTTACTACTACTTACTACTACTTACTACTACTTACTACTGCTTACTACTGCTTACTACTGCTTACTACTGCTTACTACTGCTTACTACTGCTTACTACTACTTACTACTACTTACTACTACTTACTACTACTTACTACTACTTACTACTACTTACTACTTCTTACTACTACTTAGTACTACTTAGTACTACTTACTACTACTTACTACTACTTACTACTACTTACTACTTCTTACTACTACTTAGTACTACTTAGTACTACTTAGTACTACTTACTACTACTTACTACTACTTACTACTACTTACTACTACTTACTACTACTTACTACTACTTACTACTACTTACTACTACTTAGTACTACTTAGTACTACTTACTACTACTTACTACTACTTACTACTACTTACTACTACATACTACTACTTACTACTACTTACTACTACTTACTACTACTTACTACTACTTACTACTACTTACTACTACTTACTACTACTTACTACTACTTACTACTACTTAATACTACTTACTACTACTTACTACTACTTACTACTACTTACTACTACTTACTACTACTTACTACTACTTACTACTACTCCTACTACTCCTACTATTCCTACTACTCCTGATACTGCTACTACTGCTACTACTGCTACTACTACTACTGCTACTACTACTACTCCTACTCCTACTCCTACTCCTACTACCTACTACCTACTACCTACTACCTACTACCTACTACCTACTACCTACTACCTACTACCCACTACCTACTACCTACTACCTACTACCTACTACCTACTACCTACTACCTACTAACTACTAACTACTAACTACTAACTACCTAACTACCAAACTACCAAACTACCAAACTACTAAACTACTAAACTACTAACTACTAACTACTAACTACCTAACTACCTAACTACCTAACTACCTAACTACTAAACTACTAAACTACTAAACTACTAACTACTAACTACTACCTACTACCTACTACCTACTACCTACTACCTACTACCTACTGCCTACTGCCTACTGCCTACTGCCTACTGCCTACTGCCTACTACCTACTACCTACTGCCTACTGCCTACTGCCTACTGCCTACTGCCTACTGCCTACTGCCTACTGCCTACTGCCTACTGCCTACTGCCTACTGCCTACTACCTACTGCCTACTGCCTACTGCCTACTACCTACTACCTACTACCTACTACCTACCACCTACTACCTACTACCTACTACCTACTACCTACTACCTACTACCTACTACCTA